CATTAAAACATTTTCAGTACCAAAATAACAACCTTCTCACACTGATTGAGGAAGAACTGCAAGTACTATTTTCCAACAGCTTTAGATTTTCTCAGTAAACTGTTCTCCCAGCCCTGCTTGCAATGTAATTACTGCCTAACCAGCAATAACAGAAATGGGAATGTCTTAGGCGATGTCTTTTTCCTCCAGAGACAATGTGAAACAGTGTTCAGAAAGGTACAGAATTGTAATGTGCTTACAGGAAAAAACCCTCCACATAGTAATCAAGTGTCGAGGTTAGAGGGAAAAAAACCCACCCTAAATCTTGATTGGAATTTATCTAAAACTGCCTGGAATGTATCAGACCTATAAATAAACCCGGAGGAAAAAGATTTAAACCATTGTTGGTAAACAGAAAAGCCAGTAGATGGCATGAGAGACCTTGAGATTCAACATAAAGCTCAGATGGCCACTAATAGCTACTCTCTTCTGCAACCTTCGGTGCTGTCTCTGGTTTTAGCCCTAACTACTGTATTTGCTAGATTCCTGAGGTTTCTTATTCATCAGCTGCACTTAGATCCACACAGTACATTTATTTTTAGGGACAGCTAAAGCTCGTTTAATAACTCATTCAAACATGCTGAGTAAAAGCCTAGCTCTGTTGAGTTTAACCATTGACTTCAGCGGGGTTAGAATTGTACATGCTATTTTTTCTAATGCTCACGCTGCAGAGCAGGCATTTCGTTTCCAGGAGGGGTCTGATAGTAATGGTTTTGTCCTTTCCTATCAGGCCGCAGCTTCTTTCTCTGGAGCAGAAGGACCATGCTTTCCTGAGAGTCACCGTGTCATTTAGAATTAGTGAATCAAAAGAGCCAGGTCTGAGGGACAAAAGGTTTGTTGTCTTTGTCTGGGATACAAAAGACGGTGTCTCCAATAGCCTTTTGCCTATCCCACGGTAATAGCAGGATCCAATTCTAAGCTTTTACAAATAATCCACTAAGGTTTAACCAAAGCTGACCGTGAACAAATTAAGTACATTGTTTTGATTTTTTCCAAATGTATAGTTATTTTACAGCTGGATGAATTTGAAAATGAAAACCTTCAACTTGGCAATAAAATACACTCTTGTGGTTAGGAGATCTAGTGGAAAAATTTACTTTTCTTCTCTAGAATCACAGAAGAACTTGCAAAAGACATATGAGACTATAAATTCATAAGCATTTCTGACTCCATCAAGTAGGTAAGTAGTCATATCCTTCTGATGCAGAAAATGAGGCACAGAAATCCCCAGCCTTGTGTAAAACTGCATTACAGAGCTGCAAAGGCAGGATTAGGACTCAAGCCTGGCTTATGCTTGGGACTGCATCTTTTTTTCTGACACTCACTTTTTTAAACAATACTGGAGTACTGTAATTGCAAGGTCACATTCCTTGATTACTACAGTAAGGTCTGGAGTTCATTAATTCATATCATTGAGAAGCACTAGGAATGAAAAGTAGAGTGCATAAAAGCTCAGCCTGTGAAGTACACATTCTAATACTCGGTAGGCTGTATAATTTTGTTTTGCTTTATAAGATAGGACAGGCGTGATTTCCAAATGAGGTTTAAATCTGGACTGCAGATATCCTCCCAGATGGGTTGGAAATGTCTATGTGGTGCATTAGAAACTCCAGAAGGGCTTTTTCGCACTTGTACTGCTAATACTCTTAATTCCTTTGGCAAAATGAGCTGGTTTTAAGTGTTTTGCTTTGCTGTGCCCACTGCCAACCTCAGGCTTTACTAACTTTCATTCTATTTGGATTTTACAGCTGCAACATCAGTGGAGTCTTTCAGTCAGCAAAAGGCATTCAGCTGTCTCAGCAAGAGGGCACTAACGAACAGGAACTGGACAGAAATGAAAGCTGCCCCTTCAAAATGGAAATAATAAGCGCTGTGTGTCCCCCGTGCTCTGCACTGAGCAGTGAAAGGAGCGTGCCTGGCTTTTGCTGGCGAATGCTTTCCCCTCTGGCTGAGCCTGCGCCCCAGCCCGGGCTGCGTTACTGAGAGGGTGATGGTGAGTGGATTCCCTGGCCATGCGCTGCCATCTCTTTTGTCTCTTTAGCTTGGAGCAGAGGAGACTGAGGGGTGCCCCCATTCCTTGGGATCATTGGGAAAGGGCAGTGTCAGGAGGAAGGAGCCAGGCTCTGCTCTGGGATGGCCAATGCCAGGACAAGGGGCAATGGTCCCAAGCTGGAGCACAGGAGGTTCAAGCTGAAGATGAGGAGAAACTTTGTGATTGCGAGGGTGGCAGAGCATGGCCCAGGCTGCCCAGAGAGGTTGTGGAGTCTCCTTGTGTGGAGACACCCAAAGCCCTGGCCGTGTTCCTGTGTGACTGCTCTGGTGATCCTGCTGTGGCAGGGGTTGCACTGGATCAGCTTTGCAGGGCCCTTCCAACTCCTCACATTCTGGGATTCTGTGATTCTGTGATCCTTTCTTTCCTTGTGTCTGGGACACTGCATGAGCTCGGAGTTTGTTTGGGACTTTTGTGCTCAAGCCATCACACACAGCATCCTGCTGCCGGGAGTTTATATCACAGCCAGTGGAAAGTGCTGACAGAGGAGCTTTTGCTGGGGGAAAGGCACACGTGTGGGGTTCTAGCATGGACAGGTTAGCTTTTTCCAGGCACGACAATTTAGCAGAAAGAGACGTGTAGCTGTTCTGGTGGCTCCCTTTAACTGGGACGTTGGAGGTATCTTCTTGTTGACGCAGGATCCCAAGTGGGTCTTCAGCAGGGATGGGCCTGACCTGGCATGCTTATTGATTTTTAATGCTATACAATACGTAGTATTATTATCTTTAATTGGGACGTTGGAGGTATCTTCTTGCTGATGCAGGATCCCAAGTGGGTCTTCAGCAGGGACGGGCCTGACCTGGCATGCTTATTGATTTTTTAATGCTATACAATACGTAGTATTATTACATATCATCATTGTAAAATAAATTCAGGACTGCTGACCAGTCTCTCCCTTGAAGTTTTTTCCAATGACTTTAACAACCTGTAGATTGTTTCTGGGAGAAGGCATTTGCCTGTATGAGCTGCTTGCATTTTTTTTGTACTGTACATCCCAGCTTGATCATTGTTAATTAGTGTCATGCTTCTGTGTAGATGGCTGTGTTTTACTGCGAGCAGAATTACTTCACTTACTAATGGCTCTTTGCTGTTACTAAATTCCTGTTCTACTGGTTGAGCATGAAAGTTCATTTTTCCCCCCCTCACTACACCTCTTCACTACCTTTGTCTTAGCTGAAGTGGTTGACTGGCAAAAGTTTCTCTTTTGTAAACAAGAGGATTAAAGAGAAAGGTGTTGGATTAAAGATGACAGTCTGATCCTATGAAAGGCAATGGCAAATCTCCCATAAGCCATGGTGAAAACAATAGCAGGAAGAAAAGGGCTCTCCAGGTGTAATATGAGTGTGATTTTTTAAAGGAAAGTGCAATGCAGTGTTCTTCAATGCCCCTCTTGTTTGGCGCTGCTTTTTTTTGCAGTGTAGCACTTCTGATGAGTTAGCAAAACACAGCTTTTGTACAGGGAATTTGTGAATAAGTCATTACAAACCAAAACACAGCACAAGGATGCAGGTTATTGATCTTTGAACATACTTGCATGAAAAGAAAGTTGTTTAATAGAGCACTGGCTATCTGCATATAGTCCCAGTACACATAAAGGTTGTCAAATACAGCATAAAGACTGCATTAGGTCTGGGGGAAGGGAATGAGGCAGGTAGACCCCTTTTGCCCTCCGTAGGATGTCCTCAGGGAAAAGGCTTAGGGGCAGAGGCAAACATGCTTGCTGCAAGGTAAGCCCCAGGCATCAGAGCACAGTGGGTTTGGACAAACTCCTAATGTCTTATTTTCTTCTGGAAGCAGTAAAGCAACTGCAGTACATTGAGAAAAACTGTGTTGTTTTTCTAATTTCAAGTTGGTTGCAAGCTGCAACTTGAGAGAGAGTGAGAAGAGAACTACACACTACTCATGTTTCTGCTCTAGAAAGAAAAGCCCTGAGAAATGTTATTCTGTAATTGTTCAGCTATTTAGTCTTCAATCCTCTTTTGGATAGCTCAGTATTTTCTTTAATGACAGTTTCCTGGCAGTGTTTGTGTTGTACCTTGCCCGTGCTAAGGCATCTCTTAGAAGAGCGGGCTGGCTGCTATTGCTTGTTATGGGAAATGTATCATGGCTCAGTGTGCGGCTGATTCGGGTACGAGGTGAAGGAATGTTCTGTCATTGCTCAGGGTTTGAAGGTGGCACTATTCCTGGTCCCCTGGGGTGGGAGGGAATTGCCTTTCTGCACAGGCCTAGTGAAAGCTAGCAGATTGACACCGTACTGGTTAAACACAGTCTTGTGTCCTGCTTCTGCTTTATTTTAGCTTTATGATGCTATTGATCTTACATATTTTTCTATATATTACTTTTTTGGAGTATTTGGAATGCTACCTGATGTATTATTGTTCCCTGAAGTTTCTGAAGGAATCATTTTCATGGACATACAATAGAAGATGGTAAACCAAAAAACCCAGTTCCTATTCATACTTTTAGCTCATGAAGCAACAGCACATCCATTGAAATTTAAATGAAAATGGGGACTGTGCCACACACTATAGCTCTCTGGAAAGCTACAGTGGGAGTCTAGCAGTCCAATTCATTCCTTTGTAGAATGCACTAAGGCTAATGGTCTTGCTGGGAGTAAAATGTATTTTTTTTTCAGAACTGTTCCAAGAACAGACTTTGCTCTTTACCAGAAAGCATAAAAGAAAACAAATGCTTACTGTGTCTTTAGTATGCTAAATATGAAATTCTTTGCACAATGGAATGTTAGCAGTAGCCGTAATCATGTTTTCCTTTCATCACCTAGTGAACATAATTTTAAGAGAGGACTGCTGTAATTATATTTCAGATAAAAGGAAGCAGGATTTCTGGATAATATTATAGTTGGTCTGATTGTTTTGTTGATAGGGAAAAATAAAGAGAGAGACCACATGAATACTTATTTAATGAACAACGTATTTATTAAGCAGTGCAGACTGTACATAATGCGTTTGACTTTGGATGCAACACAGTAGGCTTATTTTCTTCAAGCACATTTCTTAATATTTTACTGCAGCTATTACATTCCCTTCTTATCTGTCCAGCTATTCAATTATTTGTGTAGTATGTCTATAGCAAACACTAAAGCGTTTAGCTTAACTACAGTCACCAGTGCAGGTACAATCAATGTCAGCATCCACAGACTCCACAACATCCTCAGATGCAGATTTCTTATCGCTGCTTCTCTGCCATTCCGGCATGCTTACAGCAGTATCTGTCAGAAGAGCAGAGCCTTTGTTAACTTAACATCAAACAAATTAACACGTTTCAAGGAAATGCTGTTTTGATGGCTGCCAAATGTCTCGTCAAGTAAAGAATGAAATCCTGTCCCCCACGACTGACATCGAACTGACTCATTGACTTGGAGCGGGATTGTCATCCATTATATAATTACTATCATGCCTCCCTAAAAACAAAACTAATAGCATTTCACGAAGCACGGAGACAACAGGCATGAGCCTGTAAAAGTGCTGGAGGTAGCCACCTTCAAAGTTAGACCACCACGTACCAACACACATCAGCGATCTCTTTTTATGTTAGTACTGTGTATTTCAACTGACTACTTGTCGAAGTTCATTCTGAAGGATAAGCCCTTTGGAGAATTTTCAGAGGTTCATAAACTTCTAATTAAAGTTTCCCATATATTGTGAAATCTGGCAGAGCATTGTCAGTTGCAGTATTAACCTTACCACACTGCTTTATCAACAGCAGCTTGAGTGAGCCATATCCCTTAATGCTGAAATAATCTGAATGGAATAATGATATTCACCCTCCCAATAAATATTCTTAGCTAGTTGGAGGTTTATCATTCCATCAGGAAGAATATTAGGACATCCATTTAGATTAAGTTTGTATAATGAGAATGGGTAAAGCTTTCATAATTTCAGTTCCATTTGTTTTATCCCCTAGTTGGACAATACATTTATAACATGCCATCTCTCATCACAGGGAAAGCCGGGGCCTGCTGTTTGGGTTCAGGTTTTATCAGTCACTTATGTCCTGAAATGCTAATCCTCTCCTTGGCTGAATAATAAACTGGAAAATAAATATTTCCCAGAAACATGCTGGAGATGCTTTTAAAAAACATGTAATATTTTCAAGCTCTGAAATGAGAAGTGCTAAAAAATGTCTGGGTTCTGTTTTTTATATACGTTAATTCTTGTTATGCTCTTTGGCACACTGTGGGTCTGATCTCATTCATAGCCATGTAGAAAACTACGATTCCTATGGGTCAGGCTTGTGGCACGTTTGAAATATAAACCAATATGTGGGCTTAAACTTGGAGTGATGTCTGCCTCAGTCAGGATCGTAAGATCTCACTGATTTGAGGACAACAGGGGAAATTCTGCATCCTTGCACTTCATTTTATCCTTGCTCCTCCAGTGACAGTGATGGAGTCCCTCTCTTTTGAAACCACAGACTACCAGAGCTGAGCTCTCCCATAAAGAGCTGAGAAAAGCTCTTTGTCCAGTGTATGCAAATAAACGTTCTCAGCTTGAGAAAGATGGGGATTTTGTTTCTGCTGCTTTTCCAAGTCATCAAAGAAAGAAAGAGAAAGAACAGTTTTTAAGGGCTGGCCTTGTATTCCTATTGATCCTTAGCCTGAGGAAAAGCAATCATCTTGCTAAAAAACTACAGATGGCATCTTTTCCTTTCCTCCTTCTCCTCCTTCTTTCCCTCTTCCCCCTCCTCCTCCTCCTCCTTCTCCTCAGGATAAATAAATAAAAAACCCCCTTGATTAGGAGTGCTGCTAGCAGACTTCCCAGTCTCTGGCTCAGTAAATGAACCAGAGAAACCTGCAGTTGCTGTAAAAGCAGCACTGGCTGCGACAACTAACATAGCTTTTTTTTCTGATTTTCCTCTTTTCTCACACATTTTTGTGAGAGAATGAGACAGCTTTATTATAGCCTAATATTCTGAGGCAGTGAGTGGCCTGGGGTGATGACATTTCAGAGATACAGACTTGTACACACGAAAGTAATCTGTGAAGCAGGGATATGACAAGATTTTGGAAGATTTTTTTGGTAAGGGTGGCTTTTTCTTTTCATAAAAGAAAGCATCTATTCACATTTCAAGGAGCTGTCAGAAAACTATTAGCACTCTCTCTGTGCTACTTGTTGAATAGGCAGTTGTAGATGGTTGACTATCACAAAGATACTCATTGCTTTTATGGGCTGATTCAGAATATCAGAGATACTAATGACATGAACAAAGTGCAAAGTTCTACATAGCTGTTGTTTAAAATCAGACATTAATATACTCTGTTCCTGTCCAGTATTATTCATGAAGGGATCCACTGACTTCAGTGAAACGACACTGGATTATCTCAGCTAACAACGGATTTGGCCAACATTGGTTAACACAGAGAAGTATTCAGTAGACGTTCCCTAATGGTAGGTTTCTCTTTAAAGTATACATCTCCTGTGTAATTCATTAAAAGATTTGTTTAGGCACCAGAAATATCTGTAGGTTCCAGGCTGGATTCTCCTCTCATGCCTATATAACTTCATCACCTGTGTCGGAGAATGCATCACACCCATGACAAATTGGTATAAGTGAAAGGAGAAAAGGGTCCAGTATTTTTAAAAATCTGGGGCATGAGGGTGTGTGTATAAAATGCCTTCAAAAACAAACCATTTTTTGGAGCAATCTAGAGAACATTTCAGCAATGTGCTTTTGCTGATGTATTGCACGGTGGCACAGCATGGCAGCCTAATCACAGCAGTCATGTCACACTACTTGACTGACTTTCAATTGCCTTGCTTGCCCTGGCCTACACAAAATTGCAGGCTGTAATGTGCATAAAAGGACTCACTGTTGCTTATCTCAACTTTATGGAGATCCTGAAAATGTGAAAAAATTCTTATCGATAGCTGCTGCCCCTTTTAACACCTAAAATGTTTTTCTCAGATGATGCTACCTGCCATCATGTAAACTAGCTTTTACTTGGCCAGTACTGTCAGTGGTTATAGCAAATACTAATGGGATTAAAAACAGCAGCTCAGAGAGGAGCTAAAGCAATACAGGTCTGCATGTGGCTGTGCAGTGTTTTGTTCTTTGGAGTGCTCTGACAGTAAATGACACCGAGAGAGAAAAGTACCGTACCTTTTGGGAAACAGTGGAAGCCAACCTTAACTGAGGTTTTTTCAGTTGGAGTACAGTCTTTCTTACATTTCAGTACTGGATCAACAGAGTAGCACGTGGATTCCTCTCCATCAATAGTAGGATTTCGATTCAGCTTCACATAACTACGCTGCAGCTTGCACCCTGAGAGGAAAAGGAAAGGTAGTTAAAATTGTAGAAATAAATCCCAATTGATCCTCGCAATAACAAAGGTCCATATTTTCTCTTCAGCTTTTATTAAAACACAGGTGCCTGACAAACCATTCTCACAGTAGTGAGGTTATCGAGATAGGATGATAATAAGTTCGGGGATAGAGGAAAGAGTCTGAAAGGGGAGCTATTTTTAAAATCTAATTGCACAATATAACCCAAATGGAATCATGTATACCCAGTTGTTTAGAACTACATAATACACAGAAAATAACCTCTCATGTCTGAAAGCTATTAAGAACAGAAACTGCGAGCACAATGGCTACTTCATTGCATTAGGAAAAATGTCAACTTGCAGAAAAGAAAGGCAGCATTTATATAATAACATCAAGGATAATTTTTGTATTGGATGATTTTTATAATGCTGCAATTATCTCACTAGAAAGGTATAATGTAACTTAACAGGATCCCAGCTATGACTCCGTTTCCTGACACGCAGATAAGCACAATTCTGCGGCCACTGAAGTCAAGGAGAAAACAACCATTAACTTCAATAAAGTTGTCTCAGGTCCAAGGTAAATGGAGACCTAGAGAACAAAACTGTATTGACGCTATGGGAGACCAGCGTTATTTTTACAGCTACTTGTGAGAGGAAGCTCTTTTACTTCAGGAGTATTTCTAAATATTTCCCTGAGATTGCACCCTCCGATGGTACAGAACAAAACCGAAATTTCTGGCACTCTGAACATTTACATAAACTTCAGATCTGACACTACATTCAGAATCTGCAACTTGTTTGATTAAATTAGGTCTGCAGACAACAGCTGAAACCACTTTGATTCAGTGGTGAAAATCACACTTATATCAGTGGGAGCAAGATTAGGCCTGATTTTGCCTCTCCAAGAAAAAAGCTACTCAGTGTAAGAAATTACAGCAGAATAAATTATTTAACATTGAAAAACACATGAGACAACAACTTCTGCTGTAGTATATGTTCTCTGTATTCACAGGCAGTGTTTTAAACAGTCAGTGGTTAATTAAGTTAAAATGGATACATATTGCTATAGTCTTTTCTAAGTGAAAGATATCTGCTGCTTTAAAAAAGTGTATCCTAGCTATTGGCAGAGGAAAAGCAAAACTGTATTCTCCCCAAGCATAAATCGTTTTCAGATCTACTCACCACCAGAGCAGGTCTCTTCGAGCAATACCCATGAATGAACAAAAGCAGAACAGCTGTGTGCCAGCTTATGATTTGGCATTAGGAGTTCATTGTGCTTTTCTCTGTCATTATTTCCACAAACTCCACAGGTCTTTCCTCTCATCCATGAAGAAACAGTAACCTATAAAATAGCACATCTTTGTAGTGAATGCTGAAGTGTTGGTCTGTTACACTGCCAAGGTACTAAAGAGAAAGAGAGCAGTAACCTTGAAAGTAAGCCCAATACCTTAAGGATCACACCATCAAAAGCCACTTTCTTCAGCCCACATGTTGGAGCTTCCACGATAACTGTTGTTCCATTCTTATAAATTTTAACGTTGTCTGTAAAAAGACAGTGAACCATAAGGTGATCCACTTAATTTCACATTAATGGAGAAACTGAGAAGCACAAAATACACCATAATGCATTTTCCTTCACAATGATCTTTTTGTGTGTGTGGAGAGAGAAAACAAAAATAGAAGAAATTATCTCTTTATTTTAAAAAATATTCTACTGTTGTTCCCTATAGTTGGAACTGACTTTTTTATCCAGTCTGCTAAGTCTTGAAATGATAATGACGTCGGTGGTGCTCCAGCTAAATATCCAAACCAAAGCATCTAACTGTATTTATGACAAGCACTTTTTTTCTAAACAGTCATCCACCTGGACAGACCATATATATGAAAATACATATACACATATATAAGAAAGGGCTTTATTCACCTGTCAGTTATGCTGAGAGAAAGTAAGAGTGTATATACTATAGGAAACAGGAATGTACGCCAATACAAATCTTAGGAAAGTAATATCTCCAGTTTTCTTTGAATTAGTTCCCACTTGGGTTTTCTTTACACTGAGATCTTTCTGTGGAATTTAGAAAATGTCTGGAAGATATTTAGTTTCCTGGTCAGTACTGGAAAAGTGGGTATCACAGCTTACCCTTTTCATATTCAGAGTCTCCGCTGTCTAATAGAACTGGTTCTTCATTGCATGCCACAAGTAGAGATGAATGTGCAGCAGGACAGATTGTGATGTTCCTTTATAAAAACATATGAAAAGAAGAAGCTAGCGGTTAATTTAAAATGGGAAAAGTAGAGATATCCGTGACCAAAGCTAGCAGGAAGCCAATGTGAATAGCTGAATTTTGAATGAATGAAATGAATGTGCTGTTTTCTTTCCAAAATTCATTGGGACAGTGGGGTTTGGAGATTCAACCTTTGAAGAACAGACAGCAGGATGACTTAATGAGCAGGTTATTAGATAATGGTGGCTATGAAATTGAAGACAAGAACAACTAAACCAAAGAGTCTCAGACGAGGATTCCTTCTGGAAATCCCATTTCCCCCCAGATATCTGGTTGCAATCCAGTTTCACCTAGCAGCTAGACATCTCCCATTCCCAGACTAACTCCCTGAAACTTTATACCAAATTCCTGAGCCCTCAGGATAAACCAAACTTACGCTGAGGTTGTATTTATGTGAACCTTTCTTGAGAAAGACTGAGGATCAACTTTGCTTGTAGTAATGATGAATTTTGGGCGTTCAGTACAGTCTTGGGCCACTATCAGGTTGCAGCTTTTATTGAAAGAATATGTATGGCTCACATGATCAAATGTTTTGAAGTCTCCCTCACTGATTTCGCATGTGGCTGCAAAACAAAACCAGAAGAGAAATGGCAGATGTGACAGTGGCATGTGTGCTGCTGCGAAGTATTGAAGGCCACCTCTGTGAGATTGAACTACCCAGCAAAGAGGAAAGAAACTTCAACATCTACTTGGCAGAATGCTGCCAGAGTCTGTAAGGACAGGATAGCACTACAGAATAACTACCAGATACAGACTATACCACTACGGATTTTGAGTACATGCTAATCACAAAACTCAAGCTAACAGGGACTAAAATGTACCAAATTCTGAAGAAACTAAAAATAGTAACCATGATAAAAAGTAGTTCACACATCACACAGAAGAGAGAGGCACCAAATAGCTAAGACTCACATGACTCCGTTTTGAAGAAAATAAATACGGCAGAAAATACATAATCTGTCTTGTACCCATCGTCTGATGCCTCTCAATTCAGAGATGGGACCTCCTTGGAGCAAAAGACAACCTCTGCTCTTTGCAGTCAGGAGTAATTCCTGAACTCCAAATATTTACATGAGTTTATATCTACATCAATTTGAAGTCTCTTCATTCACCTGCCAATAAATGTGCTTCTAAGTGAAGGAATGAGCCGTTGAGAAAGCAGAGTTAGAGATGCTAAGCTTCCCTGGAAGTCCACTACAAGGAAAGGCAAGGCCTCGTCATGGCAGAGGATGGATCTACAAGCATTGCTTATTCATGAGACAAGCATATAAGTAATATTTACATTGATCTTCTTGTGCTATTTGTGAAGCTATTTTAGGAAACACATTCCAGGCAGTGATATCTGGAGTCTCGTAAGTAGGAGATGGGCCTAAGGGCAGAGTGAATGGAATTCGGAGTGCCTGATAGTAAAGTGTTACCTGAAAAAGCAGAAATGAAAATACATTAATTGAACTTTATTGCTCAAGATATAACTGCAAACAAAGACAGAGTCTTATCTTGAAAAAAACTAATAAATCTTGAAGATGCATTTATACAATTGCAGTTGTGTTAGTCTCTCCAGGATGCACCCAAACCTTAAGCTTTTGTGAGGAATCATTGTCTTCTAGTCACACTTCCTGACTTTTTGAGAAATTGCTAAGGATGTTGGAAAGCAACTGAGGTAGACGAAGTCTAAGTGACAACTAAGTGACTTAAAAAATAAGGTAACAATTTAAGTAACTGAATAAGTCGATGCATGTGTCTGGGAAAGCAAACAGCCCATTACAGGCGGAAAACGGGCATGATGAGCATTGGGGTAAGATCCCTCAATATATTTACAAATTACATTTATGAAGAGAATCAAATTAATGCCTAGTGTGCCTGCTTCTTCATTATCATGTATTAAAGATCCTGCAGTACTGAAACACCATGGAAGGTTAAAGACACGCTAATTTCTCTGTGTACAAATAGCTAGCTGTTATTAATTTGCCAGAGATCCATAGGGGAAATTTTTCAAAGCGGTGCATGGGGATTTGGTGGACAAGGACCAATTAATCAGTGGGATTCTGCAGATCCAGCGTGTGCAAGCTGCTCTGACACTGTAACTAACTGCTCCAGTTTGGGAAAGGCTGAATTGTATTTGTGGCTGTCATGACTTGCTCAGACCCGTCTCATCAAGTGTTGTTACCACCGACGTGTGACTTGAGTGCCCACACAGACAGATGCCGTACATGGTTGCAATTGAGAGCAAAGTGTTCTCAAGGCCTCTATTATCTGCTCTGAGACCCCTATACATCCCATAAAACTAGTCACACTGTGTAAAATGAATAAAGGTGTTAGTCTAGAGCAGTCATACTTGAGACAATTTGGGCCTAACTGCTGTTCTCAGCGTGGGATTAAGGTATTTGACTATAGAGTTTGATTTTCAACTTGTTGCGACGTTGCACCAAACCAGCACAAAATTAAGAGTGCTGTTGTGTGTATTTCAAGACCCATGTAATGTAGTTGAGCTGATAGCAGCTTCTTGAAAAGGGAGCTTTGCTTTTTTTTTTCCTTTACATTAAGTATCAAAATGTTATTAGTTGAAAATCCATTCAAGGTAAGGAAAAAGAAAATAAAAATTGACACTTACCCCAGGAGCTTTAATTACTGTATCAATTGTTCGTGGAGATGTTGCAGCTGCCCTTACTATAAATTCATGAGATGGATTTCTCTGATGGGCTTCTGAGAAGCCCAACACGAGTGCTGCACCAGGAACGTATTGCATGAATCTAGAGATAAACAAGATGTGACAAACTCAGGTACATAAGCAAAAGCAGACACGGGAGGATGAGGACTACTGAAATTTCTGAGAAATCAGCGAAACAATGGAAGAACTGAAAAGTCAAAGAAATAATACTTTGGGTCAAATGAAACAGTTGATTTTATCCAAACACATTGGTTTTATTTTGCTCATTTTGATTGGGTATTTTTTGAGACGGAATAGAAGAATATTTCAGAACGAAAAGGCATTTTGAACTGAAATATCAAATTATTTAATATGGAAAGTAAAACTGAGCATGTCAAGTTTTTAAAATACTTGGGGGATATCCTTTAATATGAAACATGTAGAAGAAGTGGGACACATTTGCAAAATACTTTTATGCCATTGAACTTGCGTTTTGTTTAAAAATAAAATCCCAAACATATTTGGGTTGAAAAAATTCATTCAGTTCTTGCAGTGTTTTTATAAAGCAAACTAGTGTAAGGAATGCAACATCACAACTTAGGAACGAGTAAGTTACATACGCTGTGCTTGTCTTTTTTATCCAGGATGGAAGTTTTCCCCATTGCATCTTCAGCTGCACGGCTGGCTTCTTCGCCAGTTGGCCTGTGGTAGCCATGGCTGCTACCCTGTAGTCGCGGCACTCCTTCCCCCATCTCAGTCTGGCCTTTACAAACAGGGCAACAGTTACCGAAATTAGAGAGAAGAATCAAAGAACCATCCTTGACCACTTTAAAATGCAAGTTTTTCTCCTTTCCCACAACTTCATGTTGATTCTCTTTGTTCCCAAGTCTTGGGATTCATAATCAATTTGCTTTGTCTTTCTATTTTTAGAAGACTGCACTATAATTTCAATTACCTTCCTCCAATACCTTTTGATTTGAACCCCACACCACTTTTTTCAATACTGAAACATCAGTCTGAATTTGTTAATTACAGCTGCGAGAAACAGAGGTCTCTGCAAACTGTTACAGAAAGACCTCTTGCATTAAAAGGCACATGGGAAGCACAGCACAGGGAGAAGTGAAAAAAGAAAAGGAAAGACCTGTCCCATTTATGGGAAAGCATTTATGATGCTTTCTCAGGCATCAACCCATTACCCAACTTTACAGTTTCCACCATTAAATACAAATCCTAAGAAAGACAACATTTTAAATGCATTTATGAGTCTTCTGAAATGAATTAGAGAGTAAAACAGCTAGATTCCCAGACAAGAAAACTCATAGTTGAGCAGATAATAAATGGATAGTAATGAAGCAGTCCATTTTTTCAAATAGTTATTCTACTTCTACTGGTCATATTTTGATATAACTTGAAAGCCAATATCTTTTTTTTGCCATATTTTGAAGTGGCTGATTTTTAAAATTCTTTTTAAATGAAAAGAACAGTGGAAGATAGGAACATTTTCTGAAATCTGTCAAAGTTTGTGAAGCATTTCAAAATGCGTGCGTGTTTCCCATTTGATTCTCCTAATCAGCAAGTGCTCTGTGCTTATTTAAAATAAGGCTTTTTGGATGTCTCGCCGGGCAAATCTGCCTGCGTGCTTACCTGTGCTTTCAGAGGCAGTATTACAGCATCAGCACATGCTTTCCAACTGGTTTCAGCCAGCTGAACCACAACTAGTTGCACATCAACTTTGGCAGCATCAGAACGAACATATGCTGTAGCTTGATAACCTTGATTTCTGTTGTCACTCCTTACTGCCTGTGCCACAATCGTAATGCCAGGTGGAATTACGTCTCCCAGGAAGTTGCGCTGAAAAACAACACCCAACCATCTGCGCTTAAGTATTTCTGTGTATTCACTGGAGGGCCTACAGTCCAGATTATGTGTGCGGATAGCAGGAAGCAGCCCTCGTCCTTCATCAGTTTAGTGTGTGGTACGCGCTTCTAGATCCTCAATATTTACAGATAAATTTGATTGGAATCTCAATTCTTCCAGTCCCACCAGGAATCTTCAAAGATGTGATTGCTTTAATGAGGCATCCAAACTATATTTATATACTTATTAAGATTTTGTGCATTGTTCTAATATTTAAAATATCTGCCTACAATACATCCTAGATATCTTCATGGCAGCATACACATTCACAACATAGTTTACTATACTACAGCTCCTTCAAGCCAATTGATTATTTTGAAATCCTTCTTAGTAGCAGAGTTCCCATAGACATTGTCTGCATTCACAGATCTATTTGGTTTGTTTTTCTGTAGATACATTTACTTAGTACAATTATAGAATACTAAATGTAAGATAAAGGTGATCAGTGTTTAATGGGACTTTACATTTACCAATCAGTAATGACCATGGAGAGTCTGATTTTAGTTATACTCTACATGCACTCATGACCTCAGGTCTGCATCTAGAAGTAATTAGGCACACTTAAGTTACAAAGAAATTATTTATTCCCTCCTTATTTTTACCTAAATATAAAAGTTTTTGCATTTCGGTCTTTCATAGGGAAAAGAGAATTTTAAAAAGAGAAAAATAGTCCAGACACCAGCAAACAAAGCCCTAAAGCCAAATGAATTTGGAAAAAACTTAAGTTTTAATGAAGGGAAAAAAAAAATCTCTCAAGGAACTTTGACTTTCAATTTACAACCTTGACTTGCAGAATCCTTCCTGAGCCTGACCCCCACAGCTGATTAGAGGTCACCGCATCTACAGTCCCTGCTGTAGTCCCAGCGAAACCTGGCTGCTTGTTTGTCTGCCACAGACAGCCGTACCTCGCGTGTCAGGCTGGAACCATGGCTGTGGTGAGCGTCGACTCTTGAGCTGTGCCCAGTGTTTTCTCCATGGTGGTGGCTGCTACTGCTGCTGCTTGGGTGGCTGCTCCTGCTGCTGCTGCTGCTGTTGCAGTGGCTGCTTCCTGACTCGGAGGAAGATGATGATGAGCTGCTTGATATCTTATGATCTGTATGCTACCAAAAAAAGAAAAAAGGTTAAAAAGCTGTGACATGGCCTCTAGTTTTACATTCTAGACGTCAAAATCAGAGTTATCAGCCTCCTTCTATAGGTAACAGACAGATTGAGATGTAGCTAGAGTGTTATTTTTATTATCCCATGCAGACATGAAATATGTTGCGTAGGAATGTGCCTCGAATCCACCTGGAGCTCTCTGCTCATAGGAAGGTCGTGTAGACAGTGACTGCAAATGGCAACATCACATTGTCCAGATCTAATGTTAGGGAAGTAAAAACTGACACATAATAAGAGGTCAAACATATCCACACTTTTTAAAAATAAAAAAGAGGTTATAATTTAATGAAAACCACTATCATCTTTCTCTTTCATAAGCAAGTTATACAAAAACTTTACAGGTAACACCTACAAAGGCCACTATATTATCATCCTTCTAATATATATTTAAAATACCTCTGTGCCACAGTGCATACTGAACCTGGTTTCCGATACAATCCACATACATGATATTTTTACCATGATCGCCTAAAAACTGTGGACACAGCTATTCCTATTGGAAGTTCACGCTGTTTTATAATTCCCCTCATAGTCTTTGATAACTTAGTTTTGGACAAGTTGCACAGCATCTACCCTAAAGTTGTCCTGACCGAAACATGAGGATTGCAAGTGCTGCAACAAAAGAAGGATGTAGTGTAATGGTCAGTTATTTTAGTAACAAATCTGCTTATTTTGGCCACCATTAGTGTTGGTATTGGACAGTATGGAAGGCTCAAGTGAAATGAACCAAAGCCCTTCAGTAACAGGCTTGATCATAGCAACTGTAGTCACCATGGGAATGTGCACTTGAATTAGGGACCTACCTGATGGATGTGAGCAGACCTGAACCGGAGCTGGTATACTTTTGGAAGGCGATGTTCCTGCAAAATTCCCAAAGAAGTTATTACCTACAGCTCAGTATGGATCACCACTTAGGAGAAGTCAAAGCACTAGAAAATTTTACCCATTCTGTAGAAATGCTGTGACTACTGTAACCGTTAATTTGGGACTTGACAGGTTTTGTCTCAGCTTGTCTGTCATATTTGCTTTGGCGATGGGAAACACCAATGCTTTCACTGCTGCTGCTGGTGCCGCTGCTGGTGCTTCTGCTGCTACTGCTGCTACTCTGTGTTTTGCGCGCCTGCACACGGACACTTCTCTCTCCTTCAGCAGCGCCGGCATGTGGAAATGATGTGGTCTTGGACTGCTTCTTAGCCTTATGCTTCATACCAGATGCTTCACTACTGCTGCTGCTGCTGTTGCTACTACCTGTGCTGCTACTGCTGCTGCCTTTGCTGCTGTTACTACTGCTTCTGCTACTACTGCTGCCCTTGCTGCTGCTACTACTGCTACTGTCCTTGCTGCTGCTGCTGCTGCTTTTGCTACTGCTACTACTGCTTTTGCTGCTACTGCCGCTGTTACTACTACTGCTTTTGCTGCTGCTACTACTGCTTTTACTACTACTGCTTTTGCTACTACTGCTGCTGCTTTTGCTGCTACTACTGCTTTTACTACTACTGCTGCTGCTACTACTGCTGCTGCTTTT